GAAGAACTCATCCCAGACAGCGCAATGGCAAGTGAGCTTCTTTCAGCTAGAGGACCAGCACCTCTTAGGAAAATGGAATTTGACGATGTAGGAACAGGTTCCAAGATCCCGAAGATTGATTCTCCGAAGAAGAAGTACCCTCCGTTCAACGTAGGAAGAGTATTTGAGCACAATGATGAAGAACTACCTGAAGCAGAACCAGGTACAGAGGACATTTTCTGGGAAGATTCATATTCGGACATTGGCGATTCCGATGAGGAACAAGACATCTTCAAGAGCGAAGATTCTGGACCTCCAGAAGTTGCAGAAGCCCAGTTGCAGGAACTGGATCGTGAGGCGATGCTCACAGAGATCAACAGACTCACCGAGATGAAGGCACTGGCAAGGAAACCCTTGCAAGAACTCGAGAGAGAAGAGGAGAGAGAGACAGAAGAAGAAGAGAGCAACCAAGGAACAAAGTGGTTGACGACGAAATTCGTCTTCGATTGGCGATTCAGGAACGGCCGATGGATGCGGAGAGCTAGGTTAGTAGCGAGAGAGTTCAAAGGAGCAGAAGTAAGGAACGACACGTTTAGCCCAGCTACGAGCGCATCGTTGGTGAGACTTATCCCGATCTTGGGATTACAACAGGAACATTCCCTGTACTCCATTGATGTCAAGGACGCATTCTTGCAGGTCCCACAAAGGACTCGATGTGCATGTCAATTCCCGAAGGAATATGTGGATCTGTTTGGCGACCAGGACCCCAGTTGTAGGAACGAAGGTTTGTTACTGCTTAGAGTACTTCCAGGACAGCGAGATGCAGCACTACTATGGAGTGATCATTTTGCAGGAACCCTCAAAGAGCAGAACTTTGATAGGAGCAAAGCTTGCCCTACTTTGTTTCGTGACGACAGGAACAGCATACTTGTTGTGCATGTAGATGACATTCAGGCAGCAGGGAAAACAAGGCACCTAGAGCCCAAGCTAGGAAAGCTAGGAGAAACCTACGAGCTAAAGGTTGAAGGCCCCTTCTTGACAGAGCAGGAACTTGAGGTAGGAGAGTCACACCAGACAATCCGATTCCTTAAAAGGAAATTCAGCTACCACAATCACGAGCTCCACATCACGAGTGACCCGAAGTATCTTGTGAAGCTTAAGGAAGAACTGAAGCTTACCAGCAAAGCCTCAAAGCCAACTCCGTGCACCCAAGAGTCGCAGGAACAGGACAACACTCAGACCTTGAACCAGGAACAAGCAGCATCGTTCAGGAAAAGCGTTGGCATACTCTTGTATGTCAGTCAGGACCGCCCTGACGTGCAGTTTGCCGTGAGAGGTTTGGCCTCCAAGATGTCGGAACCAACACATGGTTCTTGGAAACACTTAGTCCACCTAGTGCAGTACATGTCGAGAACTGAAGGATACCATTTAGTGTACAGGAAAACGCCTAGAGGACTCAGTAATCTCCATGAATCCATCAGGAATGGTAACTACGACTTTACAGGAATAAGGCCCAAGGAACACCACCTTTTGGAAGTCTTCAGCGATTCAGATTGGGCAGGAAAGAAGGACACAAGGCGCTCAACATCTTCAGGAATTGTTTGCCTAGACGGTCAGTGCATTTACTCCTTTTCTAGGAACCAGAAGTCGGTTAGCTTGAGCAGTGGTGAAGCAGAGTACTACGCAGGAGCGTCAGCAGCGTCAGATTCTATATTGTTGAAGGAAGCAGTAGAATTCTTGACCAGGAAACAATGCAAGGTACACTTGTACATGGATTCTTCTGCAGCTAGAGGAATTATTACAAGGCAAGGTGTAGGAAGAGTCAAGCATTTGCAGATCAGGACCCTTTTTCTTCAAGACCTCCACAAAGAAGGAACAATTAGTGTTCACCCAGTAGGAACCAAGGAGAACACAGCCGACATAGGTACCAAGCCCCTTTCAGCGAAACGTATCAGACTGTTGTTGCACTGGCTAGGTTTTCAAACCAGCGAGAACGAACCAGTAGGCAGAGAAGAGCTCAAGGAACACAAGGCCCAAACACAAGCTAAAGCAGTTGTAAGAATGATCAAGAGCCCAGGAACTTTGTCTTTTGCAGCTTTGTTGTTTGCAGGAATTTCAGGTATTTCAGACAGTCTTCAGATTCAGAGTTTCAAGGAACAGTGTTTTGAGAGTTGTGTTCAGGAAGAAGAGTTTCAGCCAGACTTTCAGGAACATGTTTTCTGTTGTGCAAGTGCATGTGAGCAGGACGGCATGTGCAGTGACACGAGTGCATGTGAGCTAGGAACGTCTGCAGGAACAGCGCATGGAACAACATGTTGTGAGATGCTTTCGCAGCTCAAGGAACTCTGCGGAACACTCGCGGAACGCTCAGGTATCCAGGAACTAGTTCGCCCGGTAGCAGAAGGTCAAGGAACCGTAGAACGACAGAGCCAAGGAACCTTAGCAGCCATGGAAGCAAGCGCGAGTTCGAGCAAGAACACAGCGGAAGTTTTCAAGGAACTTGAGATTTTGAAGGAAGCGGCGACAGCCTTAAGGAACGCTTCTGATGAAAGGAACTTGATCGCGGAGTCGATCAGGAAGAACACAGAGGAAGCTGCGCGTTTGCGCAAAAGCCAGGAACACGTGGCTGGTTGTGTGGAGTCCTTGACAGGACAAATCTACGACGTCAAGCACCAGGTTCAGGAAATGGCCGAACAGAACGACAGAGACCGGCAACAAGTCAAGGAACACATGGCCTTCGTCCTAGGTACATGTGACGCCGTAAAGGAACAGCTGAACCAGATGATGCAGGACTTCTACGAGCAGCAGCAAGAGGAACAAGAAGAAGAGGAAGAAGACGAAGAAGAACAAAGGAAAAGAGAAGCCAAGGACCGAGAGCTAGAAGGTGAACTACGTCGTGAAGGACACGGACAAGGAACAGCACCGTCGAGAGCTACGTCACCTACGTCCCAGGAAAGGAAGGAATATTCGGACCGAGGCTACTTCGAGGGCATCCAGGAACGAGAGCAGGAAGCCGGCAACGAGAACGAGGCCTACGTCAACAGCTACGTTGGAGGAGAAGATCCCGGGGAGTACCCCGATGAAGGAACAGCAGCAGCAGAGGAAGAAGAAAGTGAGGAAGCAAAGGAAGAGAGAAGGAAGAAGAAGATCGCGGAGATCAACGCCAAAAGCAAGCAAAGACTCAAGGAAAAGGAAGAGGAGAAGAAGCTTTTTCCGTACCCCTACGACTACGCCAGCGAATGGAAGGAATACTCCGAGAACGGCGAGATCTACAGGCAACACAGAGTTACAGGAGAAAAGCAGTGGGTCGACAAGGACTACACGTACAAGCACGAGAAGGGAACAAAAGGAAAGAAGGAAGGAAAAGGAAAAGGAAAGCCAAAGGCAAGAGCAGAAAGCACAGGATTTCGACCTCGAGATGAAGATGATCGCAAGTACTGGGAAGAACAGGACAGGATCTCAAAGGAACAAAGAGAAGCAAAAGCAAAAGCAGAAGAGGAGAAGAAGGCAAAAGAGGAGCAGATTGCCAAAGCAAGGTTGATTCTGGAAGCGGCAGCAGAAGAACAGGAGAAGAGAGACAAGGAAGCAGCAAGGCAGGAAGCAGCCGCAGCCGCCGAGAGAAGGCGAGAGGTAGAAGCAGCAGCCAAAGCCAAAGCAGAGAGAGAAGCAAAGGAAAAGGAGGAGACCGAAGCGGCAGCAGCAAAGGAGGCAGAGGAGAAAGCAGCAGCCGCAGCAGCCAAAGAGGAAAAGGAAAGAAAGGAGCAGGAGAAGAAAAGAAAGGAGAAGGAAGCCAGGAAGAAAAGAGAGGAAGATCAAAAGGCAGCGTCAGCGTACATTGCCAAGAAGGAAGCAGAAAAGAAGGCAGCAGCAACAACAGCAACAGGATCAGGTGAAGGAGACAGGATCCAGAAGCTTGAAGAAATGATGAAGGAGATGATGAAGGAACGCAAAGAGGATAAAGAAAGGATTGCAAGCCTTACACAGGAGCTTGAGAGCAGAGGATCAGCAGCCGGGTCGCAGGCACCCACAGAACCTGACACAACACCAGCAAAGGAAGAGGAGAAGCCAGAAGCAAAAGGAACAGGAAAAGCAACAGGAAAGGAGCCACCGAACGTCACACAGCACAAGCAGAAGGAAGAAGACAAGGACGACCCAGAACTGTCCGCCAAAGGACCAGTGAACGAAGCATCGTTCATGAAAGGAAAAGGAAAAGGAGAGTTTGAAGGAAACTGGTTTGCAGTCTACAGTTTCCAGAACAGGAAATACCAGTGGAAGTGGAACGAAGCCAAGACACAGTGGTACTGGTATTCAGGATCAAAGGAAACAGGTTGGAAAGCAGCGTCAAAGGACAAGCAAGGAAAGGAAAAGTGCAAAGCGCAAGCAAAGATGAAAGAAGAGTGGCTAAAGGAACAGCTTCACGACCAAGAGGAAGCTAAAGACAGCGAAGAGGAAGGCAAAGTAACTTCCAGTGAAGCAAAGGAACCGCGAGCAGTACTGAGGCCAGAGAGCCAAGGAAAGAAGCAGCAGGACACAGGAACCGTGGCACAGCCCTTTTTGTTTCTGTGGTGATCTAGGTAAAGTGCAGGAACGTCTTTTGTACAGTCGAGCAACCTTGGAGAGGATTGCGAGTGAACGTGCGCATACGTTTGCGATGAGGAACAGTGTTTGTTTTGCAAGTGAAAAGGAACTGCAGCGTGTTTACTGTTTGTCAAGGAAAAGTCGGAGTCACCTCAGTCGAGGAACTTTCGCTAACTCCGAAGGCGGGGTGTTAAACATTCTGCCAGGAACAGTAACACAGCTAGTGCAGTACAGTTAATGTACAGGAACAGCCGTCACGCACACGCGACGTGCAGGCTCGAGACCCCAGGACACACCGTGCCCAGGAACAAAAGTGTCCAACAGTCTTTGTGGGTAGGAACCCTTAGTGAAGCCCGTTCTTTAACACACTTCCAGAATAGCAGGCAACCAGTGGTCGTGCAAAGCGAGGCTGTCGCTGCAAGTATACCTGGGAAAAAGGGCGCGGGTCGGGCGCAGCAAGCGCCAGTCCCCCAGCACGTGCGGCAATGATGTGGGCCATTCGTTCACAAAGCAGCACTGGATATGCAGCCTCATCGGCAGTCGGGAAAGAGGTAGCATGTGGCTGCAAACGAGGTTTCCAAGAAGCGTGCTGGTGGTCGCGTGAACATCGGAGAGCGAGAGGCTGAAACCAATCGGCAGAGCACCACAACAGGGTGGTTTTGTCACGTGTGCCACCATGCATGCAGGCATCGTAGACCACGGTGTGATGTGGTGAGCGGAACAGCTCGTCCAGGCCATCACACAACCAAGCCAAAGAGTTGCGTGGGTTTTCCACGGTGACGAAGATTTTCAATTGTCGAGCCAGGTCAGCAATTTGCCCGACGGCACGGTAGAGCATATTGGCCTTCTGGACCCTTTCAAGATCTGCGCCAGTCAAAGTGGAGAGTCCTTGGGGTTCGGAAGTGCTGCGCAAAGGTTGCGGCACCCGAACACCAGCAGCAGTCAATTCTGGAATGGGTCTTGAGCGCGCCGCAGACGCGGTGCCACATGGCGGCGCACAATGGATCCAGACAATATTGGCCGCCTCAAGACGGATGATATCCAGAAGAATGCAAAGGTCGTCAGCATCGGTGAGGTCAAGACGTTGTATGGGGAAGCGTCCACGTGCGGTGGATTTATCGATTGCAAGCGTTCTGAAACCCAGTTTCTGACAGGCAGTGCTGAGCCGAGCCGTGCCTGCAAAGATCTCGATAACCAGCGGTGTGGCCCGTTGCGGAAAGGCCTCCTGCAAGCCAGTATGCGTGGAAGCAGATGCACTGGTGGATGGTCCGGCGTCAGGCGAACCTAGAGGTTTTAGGGAGGGGCAGGCGGCGGGTTTAGGGCCAACTAGGGGTCGGTAGGCGACCTTGGGCCGCTTGGGCGGTGGCACGGGGAGCACAGCGTCTGAGGCCGATCCGGACTCAACTTGAGGCAGGAGGAAACGAGCATCAAGGAGTCGAACACGATGTGCCTCGGACAGGAGGCCAGTGTCACGAATGCAGAATCCAACAATCAACAAGCGAGTACCGTCCCAGTCACAAGTTGCGTGCAGCCTCTCTGAAGGAAGCAACTGTGGGCCGTCAGCAACAGGCAGCAAGTAGCCCAGACGCGGCACGTCGGGGTCGGGGCACGGACACTCGCCTTTACCCTCAACCCAAATCTGGCCTTTGTGGAAAACAGAGGCAGGCAAGATCAGGTTGGGATGGGCATGATCGTTGTTGGCGTCGTTGTGCAGAGGCGCCTTTAAATTCAAGAAAAGTCCAACAGACGAGAAGCAGCGAGAGCCAAAAGACGCCGACAAGACGGCGGCCAAAAGCATGGTACTAAAAGGAAAGGCGTGAAAATTAGAGCGCAGTCCGGCTTTGGCTTGATGGACATATGCGCCGGATGTGAAAGATTTGGGAGCTGTCGGGTCCACAGATTCTTCTGACGGGGCACCGGCAGTGTCTGCAGGGAGCAAAGCGATCAAGCTCCGAAAATCGTCATGACTAGCAAAACCGGCCTGTAGGCATTGCAATGCTATCGCCTCCGCGGGTGCCAACACGTCGGCAACCTCAGAAGTGGCAGCAGGGGGAAAATGAAAGCCCACTGAGTGTGGGCCATAGCCAGAAATGGCAGCCGCCTCAACAGGCGGAGCTGAGGTGTCGAGATCTGTTTGTCACTCGGATTTACCCTTGCCGGATCCCTTCCAAGTGCGAGCTCGGCAATTACGGAAGGAGTGGCCCACACGGCGACAGTAAGCACAAACATGGACACCCCGAGGGCAGCGCGGTGGGTCTCCCTCAGTCTTGGCCTTGCAGCCGGCGCAATTATGGTCCCAACAGATGGGCTTGCCGTCCTCGGTTTTCTGGTGAGCGTCCTTAAGTTCAGCCGGCATGGTGCGTGCCTTTGTAGCCTGTGCAGCAGTAGCCTGGGCGCCTGTGCTCCGTCCTGGTGTCGTATGCTTGGCAGCGGTAGCCGCCTCTTTTGCACGGCGACGGCGCTTGGCGGCTCGGGACAGTCCTTCACCTGGTTTGGCAGGGGAGCCTTGCTCAAGGTCTTGAACCTTAACATCCGGTGCACGGCCCCAGGTAGCCATCAAGTACATGGTGATCCGAGGGTCTGTCCTCAAAGCATCCAAAGCCTTACCCAGAGGGTACTCGCCAGCGGTACTGGGCTTAAGCGATGGCACCTCGGACGCCATGATCAACCAGGCTTCACGATCGGCCTGCACAATGCGGTTCATATCAGGCTTGTGGAACCCTGGAGGGCACTCCTTAGTCAGTGCGTGAAGCAAGCAGTGAACCCAACGCTCATGCTGGGCCCACGTCAGTACCTTAGCCTGGTCCAAGGCCAGACCGCGGCGCTGAAGGCACCACTGCAACTTGATCGGCGAATCATAAGAAGCAATGTCCTTGGGCTGTTCACTTCCGACCTTCAAGGAGTTGTCCTCAAGTCGAAAGATTTTGCTTTGGTCCTTCGTTGAAAGCTGAATTTCTGATTCGCGGCTGGTGCATTTGCCTGGCGATATCCAAGTGATGCCCACATCATGCATGTGACAACAGAGGTCCACCAGAGCATGGGAAGGGACCAAATCACGCTCTATATGCACCCCACTAAGCCGACGGCGCTGATCTTCGGCCCTGGCCTGTTTTTCAGCAAGTGGAAGCTTTCGAGGCTGTTCGGCAGAGTCCCCTTGCACAGCTTGACGCAACTGAGCTATGACATATGTGGCGGACTCGAACATCAATCGCTTCAAGATAGACACATCCCCCAAACGGGGAGCAGCCCCCAAGATCTTTACTGCAAATGCGTCCATTTCCGCCTGTGTGGGTCGATCCTGAGGCGTGCCACAGGAATATGCAAGCGAGGCAAAGGAAGTGATCCCTTGGTCAGACAGTGCGGTGTGAATTGCACCCCCGCCGACGTCTTGACATCGCTGCCGAAATGAAGCCTCACTGTCAACCAGCGACATGTCGCCCCCTAAAGGCGGCTCGAGCACCAAGTCAGCTGAGAAGTCAGGGCTGTGTTCCACTCACGTAACATGACCGGCACACCAGATGACCCCCAACACACAAGCATCACGCTCGGCCCCGCAAGGCGAACTAGTGACTGTCCGCCACTGCCTTCTTGCAGTTGCGACACACTGATGAGTCAAACCTGATTCGCTGTGGAAGACTGTACAAGTCGCTAACCATCCGCCCACACATCAGTACGCGGCGGTTGTTGTCAGCAATCATGTGCAGCAAGCGAGTTCTCTGATGCTGTAAAAATGTTGTGCCTTCCGCAGGCTCCGGCGGCGGCATAATCCGGGCCGGTTCGTCATCGCTTCCGGAGCCATCACTTGAATCACTTGATCCACTCGAACTAGAAGAATCGGAATCCTTGCCGACAAGTTTGTCGTCTTCTGCGCCCAAAGAGGACACACCGCCGTCACCCACCTCAGCTTCGGGTGGCTCATCAGCAGAATCCTGCCCCATAAGGTTCGCGTCATCATCGCCCGGAAAGAAGACGTCTGGCTGGCTCGGTGCTCCCTTATCAAGCGCGTCGACCAAGCCAAACATGTCGTCGTCGCCCGTCACCCTCTCCCAGGACTCAGCAGAGGGAGGGTGGCGATCATCCGTCTGTGCAGCGAAACCCAATCGAAGCTCTTCCAAGCCACTCCCGCGCAAATAACCCGCACGACCAGCATCTGGATCAAAGACACCCTCTCGGATCTCTGAGATCAAGGCCATGAGCAGGCGGAGGGGCCGGGCCAACTCGTCATCGCCATAAGTGTCAGCCATCCCGGCCGAGTTTGCGTGTCCACCCAGAACCAACCGGTCCAAGTGTTCCACGCCACGCTTTGTCGCCATGGTAAGGAAAGTCCTCTTCAGCGTGTGGCCAGATGTTCTGAGTGATCCACGGTCGACGAAGATCTTCTGAAGCCATAAAGACATCTCCTCAGTGCTCACGGATGCACCGGTAGGTTCTCCTGCAGGGCCTGGCGTAGGCAAGGGTGGAACGAACTCTGTAAGTCCCACCTCCATTCGAGCCTCGTGCCACAAATCGAGCCAGTTTGGCCCAGCGATACCTCGTCCAGGAGCGATCATCCGAAGCGGTGCACCCGCAAAGAATTTAGAGTTGACTGTTTTGTAATCCTCACAAGTAAATTCCAGGAAGAGCCTCTCACCATCAGCCCCGTATTCCAGCCCACACGAGATAGAGTGCTGAAAATCGGACCAACGGGATCGCATGTACGCGCAGCACAAAGCTGCTCCCGCGAAAACTCGATCCCAAGCGGGGACACTCTTGTCCCCCAACATGGAATGGAGCAGCCTCAAGTTCTTCAAGGTCAAAGGGTCTGCCCTCTGGCGCGCCTTCCGCCGTGCACCCCTCGATGCTGCACCAAGACACCGCCTGCTGGATATCACGTTCTCAATCTCCTCAACTGAGAAGACATGTCGAACGAAGATCAACGCCTCACGAAGCGCACGCATATGTGCTGGCTTCGCTCCGCCAGCTCTGGCTGCAACCATGTGCTTGTAAACATTGCCCTCTTCATACGGAAAAGTCTCGTCGGACCATCCCTCACTTTTGTGAAAACGAAGCAGAGAGTTAACACGCTTAAGCAGCGTACTCGGAGCTTTTGGATGCAACCAATCCCGAAGAACTTCCGTACGTTCTTCTGCGGTAGCACACTCAAGCAGACTCTTGCAGATCAAGAGGTCCGGGCGAAGATCGGCCCACCTCAAGATAACAAAGGTCCATCGAGCCATGGCCTTGTCGTGGTCCTTGTCGCGCTGATCTTGCCAAGATATGCCGTGGCTTTTACGTACCACCGAAAAACACACTCCAGGAACGAGCCACTTTCTCTAAGACGCCTCTTCTTTTCCGAAGGTGGGAGAATTTCCTCGGGATCATCTGGCACAGGGAGGTCAGGCAGCATAAAAGTGTCTTCCCAACCCACCACATCGCTAGGCTCGAAGATGCTCTTGAACACACCGTGTTCCCAGGGCAATTCCGCGGGCTGTCTAGCATCGCTAGCACAAGCATCCACAGCCGCACTCAGCAAAGCTTCGAAGTCTATCCTTGGGCCCTGATCGCTCGAGCACCCGTTACTCGCCCCCTGCATTGTGCTCGAGTCGTGAGCGCAGCGAGTCCACTGCACCCGGAGGTCACAGGACGCGCAGGCCAGCACTCTCGGCCATGCAAGTGCAAGCACAGGAGCAAGTCGGCGGACGTGCGATTGCAGCAGAAGCAAGCAGCCTGCTAGCAGCCAAAACTACGTGACAGGCCATAGTCAGCGACGCTCGTCTGCAAAGAAGCAGCACTAAGGTCACCAGCACAGGCGCGACAAGTTGCGGCCACAGCAATGCAGCTTAATTTTGCCATCAGCAGACACGACCGGCTTCGAAAGTGAGGTGATTCAGCTGGACCCATCGTGTGGGCACAGAGCTGGGGCTAAAGCGGCCTCCAAACGATCAAGACGAAAAGCTGTACTCATCGCAGTCTCGGCGGCCACACGTGTGAGCTCATCAAGACGTGAATGCAGAGTCCTGAGGGAGGCCCTGGTATCCAAAACAAACTCGGAAATCGCAGAAAAAGGAGAACTGGACTCTTGGCTAGCCAGCAAGGTATTCATCAAATGAGTGCGTCCCAAGCAGAGGTTGTCAACTCTGTGCCCCAGAGACTCACAGTCACTGCGGAGACAGCAAATGTGGCGCAGCAACCTCGAGGGGCTGAGGTCCCGTGCCCGTTCCCCGGCAGCATTGGAGTGTTCTGTCGCATCGCGATTCGAGTCCCTGGACCTCGAACGCTCACGCGCACGACTTGCCCTGGCAGAAGCAAAAGGCGGGCCAGTCTGTGCACGCTGACGTTCGGCCTCCCGAACGGCAAAGAGGGCCTCCTGGAGATCTCGCAAGAACTGAATCTGGGACCCCGTCAGCGCGTCCATCGATGAGGGAGCCGAACCCGCAGTAAAGAACCTAAAGGCGTAGGGTCCTTGCGAAAACTGAAAGATCAGCGGCACAGACAGCGCGCTATGACATGTGAGTGGCATGCCGGTCGAAGTCAAAGTGCACAGACCAGTTGTGGAGAACCACACCGCAAGGCACTGAAACATGCGACACATGTTGCACAACGCGCAGCAAGTTGAGTGTTTTGCCACTGCTGAGCGGGCCACGATCTGAGCTGGAACACCAGCGCTACATCATGAGATCTGCAATCAGGCGCCGATGCTATGCAGACAGCTAGCGCATGAAGTGAGGCTGACTCTGAGGTGTGGACTCGACCAGCCCTGCTTGGAACCACAGCGAACTGCAAATTATCTGTCAAGCATGGCAAAGGGACCTGTTGTGAGCAAGAGCAACAAAACTAATCGCGGGGCTCACTGTGGCGAGAGCAAGCCTGGCGCAACTCGTCAAAAGCCTCCTCGATGTCCGTGGCACGACCCTCCAGAACGGAGAGACGCTCGGAAGTCTCGGTGCGAAAGACGTGAAAGCTCTCCTGCAGCATGTGCACCTGAAAGATTATGGCAGCCAGGTCTTCGGCAATCTGGCTGAGCTGAGAGTTCAGCCGCCCTTCAGAAGCGCGAAGATCATGCTGGCCGACGACATCTGCAGGACAAGAGGGAACAGGTGGAGTCTCCTCAACGACCACCTCCTCATAAGACGAGGAGTCATCCATGTCTTGAGACGCAGCACTCTCAGAGGCATCCATCTGAGCTGACAGCACGAGTGCAACCCACCCGCCCCTAAAAAGAATTTTTTCCTGCCCACTTGAGCAAGAAACCTTGAGCCAAAATGGCTACGTTTTACCTTTTAACACTCCTCCTCAAAGGAGGTACTTTCCAAATCTTTGATTCATCATTTCAGTTGTTAGTGATTTTATGGTCTTTGAATTGTGGGCTATTCGCCCCTTGTCAGTTCAACGATATATCTCGCGCCGATACATTTTGGATCAACCGGAAGGGGACTTTTAGTCCTTTTAGTGTCTGGGGGGCGCCTTTTCAGGCTTCTTCGCGCAATGGAAGATAGGCTGTGGGGCCTTCTTGAAGAGAAGGGCTGCAGTGCTGTGGGTTTGCTTCGCATTCACTTTCAGACTCCTTGGCACCTGGCATGCGCAGTGGACAGTGTTGAAGACGCTGTGCGATTGGCAGAGCAGATCACTCCGAGTTCGATTCCTTCGGACCACAAACGGTTGGGATCTCAGATCTGGGAGTGGATGACTGCTCACACAGGTCTTTTCAAGCGGGTGCAAAGCAGGCTTACTGCGAAGGCCACACGAATTGAAGCGACCCCTGGAAATTCGGTGTCTCCTTGTGATATCTTCGATCAGTGCGTGAGCAATAGTCTTGATCTTTGCAAGCAGACCAGTCGTGCACATGCTAGATGGATTTCGAATGGCGCCGGGACCCCGGCGGATGCAGAAAAATCTTCCAAGAAATTCTGGGGAACTGTCCTGGTTCAGATCATGGTGGAGGCAAAGCTTCCTATCGTTGACATTCCGGTTGAGAATGAGGAGCAGCGTGTTTCTTATGCTCTCCGAGCCTTGGGAGCTCGGATGTCCAAGACACTCAGGAATCGTGCAAGGGCCTGGCGCAAGGCTCGTGACTGGATGCTTTCAGTGAAAGGTTACCCTTTCCCGAAGAGTCCTTCTGATGTTGTAGATTACCTCATCTTCTTGGAGCAGGAGGTGGGTACAAAGAGCTGCATTTCTGAGCTTATGAGCGCATTGTCTGTCATTGAGGATGCTGGACAGGTTCCTTTGACAAATCAGCTGTGCAAGAATCGATTGGTCGTCGCGGCCTCAAAGAGCACCGGGGCTGAAGTGCAGGAGGGGAAAACCAGCAGGAAGCAGGCGGCTCCCCTTTCGGTGGCGATGTTATTATCTTTGGAAATTTTTGTGGTGACTGGTACGAACCCTCATTATGCTCGGTGCCTGATGTGGGCCTGCTTGGTTTGCGTATGGGCTTGTATGCGTGTCTCTGATCTGCAAGGAATTGACGTTTCTCGCCTTAGGCTTTTTCGTGAGGGGCTTAAGGGCTTTTTAGTGAAGACCAAGACGACAGGACCTGATAAGAAGGTGGCCGAAGTTCCTTTCTTTATAGGCAGGTGTGTCGGGATATCAGGACGTGATTGGTTGGGCACTGGATTTGACCTGTGGAAAAGCTTGGGACAGCTTGATCGCACTTTCTTGGTTTTCCAGTCTTCTGAAGATTTTGAGGAGCCGTCTTACAAATTCGCCAAGCCGGAGGTCATTAGCAATTACATGCGTCTTATTTGGCGCCAGCTTTTGGTTCCATTCAGGAAGCTTGGTGAAGATGTTTGGAGATCCAGGGCTGAGGGGAAGCTGCTGGGCGATGAGTGCTATCTCTTCTGGACAGGTCACAGTATGAGACATGTTTTGCCGACAATTGCAGCGGTGCTTGGTGTTCCGAAGGAGCAGAGAGATTACCTTGGCAGGTGGCATGTCGGTCTGCACCAGAGTGCGGATTACATACATACATGTCGCCAGATCGTGCATGACTTGCAGCGACGGGTTTGTGACAAACTCTCGGGCGGAAAGCCTGGCTATGATGAGGAAGAGTTGTTTGATGAGCTTAGGGCCTGGCTTCGGGAGAGAGGCCTGGACCCTGAACCTTGGTTGAAGCTTCATGCCGTGATGCGCACCGTGAATGGTTGCAAGGTTTTGAATCAGAGATGGCCGCTGCTTGAGGATGCCACCGAAAGGTCGGACGACGCTGCCCCGGCCCCGCTGGTTTCTAACTCTTCACAAGATTCTGGAGAGTCTCCGTTTTGGGTGAGCATCAGCAGGCACTCAGGGCACAGGCGGCTGCACATACGAAATGGCTGCTGGGTCACTCCCGGTAGTTGTCATCGCTTCGCTGAGGTGTGGAAGGTTGATTCTTCGGTGGCCGACAGTTTCTGTAAATTGTGCTATCGTGATAAGGAGAGCTCATCTTCAAGTTCGGGGGAGTCTTCCTCCACAGACTTGGGTGAGCCAGCAGAGCCGCTCGAGTTGGCCGACCCATCTTTTCACACTTGATGCAACTCGTTGGAAGTGTGTGTGAATAAAGACGGGGGGGCGCTCTGCGTGCAACTTTCAGTGCACTATCAGTCCATGCGTGAGTGCTTTCAGCTCTGGCGCAACTTCGCGCAAATTCTGTGGGATGCCGGCGGTATGCTCAAGGTTCCCTTTTCAGATATCAGAACATGTGTGTCACGATGTGGCAACTCTCAGATCGGCGAAGCTTGCTTCACTTTCAGCTCCCCTTTCGGGGTTTCAGTCTTCAGCTTCAGTGCATTCTGTCAGTCTTTTAGGTGACTTGATGTTAGATCCGCGGTAGTGAAGCGTCATGGCCGCGGACCCAGCTGCGCAGCGGGCGTACTTGCAGGCTAATGTGGATGCAGACTTTGTGTTCCTTCTTGAGGAACACGGGGTCGAACTTGCACTTCAGTTTGCTATCGGTCAACATTACAAGAGCATTCGCACTTTTGCTGCTTTCGCTGATGATCGTGGTGCAGCTCGTACTGCGATTACAGCCGATTTCGCTATCAGGCCTGAGAGCGCGGCGGATCGAGCTAGGATGGCATGCATCATCACTGCGTGGGAAGCTTCCAAGATGATTCGTGAGGAGGAGGCTAAGCTTCGTGCTGAGGCTAAGGTTTTGGGTGTTCAGAAGCCACTCGCCTCTTCGGATCGCGCCCGGGTCGCCCTGGAAGCTGTTCGAGGCTACACCGTGCCGGAGTCCGAGGAGCCGGCGCCTGAGTACTTGGCACACAAGCTTGAACAGATTGAGAATGGCGAGCCCACTGCCAGCTATCTTGATGAAGTTATTTCTCGAAAAGAGTCCAACTCGCTGCAACTTCAGACTTCCTTGGACAATCAGGGCCGGCTTCGGGTCATGCGACAGAAGCCAAAGGGTCGCCTTCCGCAGAATACGGAGGAGCTGCGGGCGAAGCTTCGCCTCGAGGCCTCCACTTGGGTCATGCTCTCAGCCAAGTGTCGCGGTCGTGCATATTTGCAGGGGCTGCAGCTGTCACACTTTGATCGTTTCCTTGAGTTCCTGTTGGGTGACAAGTGTTACAGCATGCAAGTGGCTTCCACTGCTCCCGCAAGCTCTTCTCATGCGGAGAAACAGGCACTGTCTGTGCCTTGGAATGTCCTGCTTCAGTACGAGTTTGAGCTTCGTAAGTGGGCTATCAAAGGAGGCCCATCGCGAAGGTACCCCGCTCGGTGACAAGTTGTATGAGGCCACTCGGAATACCGAGCTCAAGGAGCTCCACTTCACCTCTCAGGTCGCCTTGTCAAAACGTTCGGCCGCTCATGATCCTCCCCCTCCAAAGTGGCCCCGCAAGGGCAAGGACGGCGAAGGGGAAAAAGGCGGCAAGGACGGCAAAGGTGGCAAGGACGGCAAAGGGGGCAAGTCCACTGGCAAGATTCAGGTCGGGGAGTCCTGGTACGATTTGGTGGCCAAGACCCCGGATGGTCGCGAGCTGTGTTATGCATACAACATCAAGCGGGGATGTCAGGTCAAAGGCTGCCAGCGCGTTCACGCATGTCGTGTTAAGGGCTGCCAAGGCAACCACCCAGCATATCAGCACGGCGCGCAAGGTGGCTCCTGACTTCGCCGCGGTCCGTTGAATTCAGTTGGCGATGGTACTTCTGGGATACGTCCTACGCTTCGCGTGTTGTATCTGTTTTCAGGTCCCACTCGCAAATCGGATGTTCGTGGCTCCCTGGAGGCGCTTCGCAAGGCACAGAGTATCACTTTGGTAATGTCTGAAATTGACATCTGCCGCGATCCCAAACTAGACCTTTTGGATCCTGCCATCGCGGATCGATGCTTGCAGGAGGTTAGGAACTCTGAGTGGGATGTGGTTTTGGTGACCCCACCTTGTGGGACATTTTCGCGGGCTCGGTGTGTGCAGCCGGGTCCTCGGCCACTGCGATCACGTCTTTATCCTCGGGGCTTTCCGTGGCTATCTGATTCTCACCGTGCTCTTGTTGAACATGGCAATCAGCTTGTCTCTTTTGCTTTTGAGGTCTGCACAAATGCGCTTTCGAATTCAGTACCTTTTCTACTTGAGCATCCTGAAGATTTGGGACTCACTACCAACGGTCATGCTCCGGCTTCCATATGGCAGCTACCGGAGGCCGTTGCTCTCTTCAAGCATGAGAATGTCATCACTTTCGCAGTATACCAATGCCAATATGGGGCGTTTTCGCCCAAGCCCACACGTTTTCTGTCTTCTATTCCGGTTACTTCTCGAATGCCCTTCACTGGGCCGCCTCGGTTTGACGCTTCAGATCGATACCTCGGCCCTTTACCGAAGTACTGTGGTCATCGACATCAGCAAAAACTGCTCGGGCCTGCGGCTACTTCCGCGGCCGCAGCTTACCCGGACGATTTGTGCAGAACCATTGCTGAATGGTGTTTCTCCGTCTTCGATGGGGGGGGAACACTGGCTGCATCGGCTCCTACACAGATGCTGGAACCATGTTTTCAGTTTCCAGCGAGGGAAGTTGAGGCTGGCTCGGGCGCTTCCCCTGCGGAGCGACTTGCTGCGGAATGCTTGAGGAATGGGACAATTTCTCACGGGCAACTTCTGCGCATTTCTGAATTACTGCCGGATGAAGACAGAGTTCGACAGACTTCTAAGGTGGTCGAAGGTCAGCGATCGTTCACTGCAGGAGCCTTTGTTCACTCTGACAAGGTTGGCATCCGGCGCAACACGAGGAGTTTTCCCTTGTCTTCAGAGCTATTGGCCAAGCTGCTCTCGTGTGGCTTCCCTGGCCGATCCTTTACTTCTTTAGCATTCTTTCGTGATCTTAAGCAACCGCCGCACCGGGACACCACGAATGGACCTTTTGATAATCTGCTTCTGGCCTGTTCAGGGTTTTCGGGTGGCGGTCTCTGGGTTCAGTCGGAGGGCGGTTCAGTCCGTCGTTTCATAAATGGTTCATGGCTGTCGGGTCATATCCTGGACTGGGACGGCGGCAAGATTACCTTCGATCCACATGTCTGGCATTCCACGGAGGACTGGGAAGGTTGTCGGTTGGTCCTGGCCGGGTACGCCATTGCGAACGACGGACAGCTTGTGGAATCGGACCGGGATGCTTTACTTGACTTGGGATTCGACCTGCCAGGAAAGCGAAAGCGGGGCCACTGCGAGACCACGACCGCAGGGGATGCTGGCGACGATGGGAAGGAGATTGAGGACCTACCTTATAGTGAGCTGAAGTCTGGCTGTGAGGGACCGCCCTTGGTGGGCGAGTTCGCAGGGGCGACTGACGAGTTTGTGGACGGCTTCGGTAGATGCTCGCCGGGGCGTTGGAAACCTATCTGCCGGGGGCGCCACATGTCTCCTGCCGCCACTTCCTTCGCACAACAGCTTAAGGATCGTGTTCGAAAGTTTGTTCTTGAAAATGTGCCTGATCTGGCAAAAGCGACTTTTCGTCTGGCGACGGGGCATTGGAATGGTCCCTTGTTCGCTCCGGAGGCAATGGACAAACTTCGCGAGGACTGGTTCTGCATGCTGCCGGATCCTGTACGAGCAAGGGAGCTGATTCCTCATCAGCCATTCTACTTGAGGGCAATGGCACAGACCCTAAAAATCTTGGAGGATCCCGACTACCGCATCATCGAGGAGGGCAAGTTCTGCTTCGTGAATGGTGTGGAGGTCGGACACACTGCGCCATTGGGGCCGGTCCCTCAAGTCTTCAGAGCTCGTCGAAAGGATCAGAAATACGATGAGTCCGACTGGCAACCGCTGATGGATAATTATCGGGACGGCCCTGAGGTTGCAAAATCGCTTGAGGAGGCATTTGCAAAAGAAGAGGCAGAAGGCCGTATGTTCCCACTTTCTCTTTCAGAGGCCCGGGCCCGCTATCCGGGGGCGGCACTTCGTATTGCAGCGCAGGCAGTGATTCCGAAACCTGACCAAGACTTTCGTGTGGTCCATGATGGGACCCACGGGGTCCACGTCAACAATGAGATTGTTATGCTGGACCGTCTTGAACCAGGGGCTAGGGAAGTGTCCGCGATCCAAAAGCTGGGCAACGTGTCTGATGAGAAAGTCCTCTTCGGGCTTGTGGGGGACGTGAAAAAGGCGCACAGGCGCTACTTGCACCATCCCGACCATTGGGGGGTGCTCTCCTGCAGAACTCGGAGCGATTCCTCTGTGGTCTGGGTCAATCGCACCGGGACTTTCGGAATTGCTTCAGCGGCTTATTGGTTTGCGCGGATCATCGGTCTTGTGGGCAGGCTTTCCCTCAGAGTTCTTCTTCAGGCATTCCTCTTCATGCTCATTTACGCTGATGATCTTCATGTGCTCAGTGGGGGGCCCGATCGCTGGCTCAATCTTTGGATGTCCCTTGCGCTTCTTTGCCTCCAGGGTACCCCCTTTTCAGAATGAAAATGGCGTGGAGGATTGCAGCTTGATTGGGTCGGTTATTGGATTGATTATGGGCGCTTCAAGCTGGGAATTTCTGAGAAGAGGTGCCATTGGATCATCGGTGGCATCGAATCCATGGAGGGAAATGGCTGGCTTGTTGATGTCCGACGATTTCATGAGCTTCACGGGAGACTCGGTTTCATGTCCCAGGTTTTGATCTGGATTAGACCCTTCTTGGCTCCCGGTTACGCTTGGCTGGCTGCTGTACGGAAGGGAGCGGTTCTCGCGCTACCCAACCTTATCCGTTGTGTCTTGAGGTTTATCGCTGACCGCTTGAGGCACGGTGCTCGCACTTACCTGGGGGTACGTTTGTGCACCCCTTGTGTGGTCATGCTGCTGGCGTACATGAAAAGGTTTGTAAGAAGCCATACAAACTTCTGGTGTCCATAGGATTTTTGGGTTTTCAGGATATATAGCTTAAAAAACCCAAAATCAAACTTAAAACTTAGCCCGATTGAGCCCGACTTTGAGCCAATTAGGGTTTAGAGATCGCAAAAATTAACGATGGATTGGTGAAGCCCAGTTACAGATTTCTGAAGGGAAGCTTTAGGGATTAAGGCAATCCATGGGGTTCAAGCCTTTGAGGCTTAAGGGGCGTCTTATAACATGGGATTCAGTTTTTGAGAGCCCGCATTCATAGTATATAGGGCTAGTCCGATAATACTATATAAAACGTGATGCATCGAAGTTCTACACATGAATGTGCGTATACATATACATATATACATGCATGTGACTTATGCAGGTGTATGTGTGTATATATATATGTATGCAGTTATATCTGCACAATGTTTGCATATATATATATGTGTATATGCGTACATATGTACATGCATGCGTTTATATGACGTAGACACAACCTGCGTTCGTACGTTTACATGTATATGTACGCGTGTGTATATATGATGTCTTGTCTATATATATATATATGTGTAATCAAAGGATATGCTTGGCCTTACAGTGGTGCAAGGGGGGTTATAAGGTTTTCAGGGCATGGTCTAAGATAGCATCGAACGTACTATTTATACAGGTCATAGTTCAGGATACCTTGAACACATACTATCCTAAACCCCCTATTCCGAAACCATGATCCCCCTAAGTCCGAATCCCCTAATTCCTAAACTCCTGAACCCGTAAACTCCGAAACCCCTATTCCTACATGCCCAAACGCCATCACCCCGACACCAGCAACGACCGTGTTGTGTGATCAGGGATTGGGTTTAGGGTTCTGGGTCTAGGGTCTTATAAGGTTTAGGGTTTAAGGAGGATCTAGGGTTTACATGGGTCTGGGTTGGTTAAAAGTATACTTAAGATATAGCTACTACCCTATACATACCCCAAACACCTTAAAGGTCCACAAAGTAGCCCTAGCAGCCCTAAGCTGCACAAAATTTGAACCTCAAAGCTCAGAACCTTAAAAGCTGCATAACCCTTATACACAGCCCTAAACCTAAAACCGCTAACCGAAAAAACCCTAAAGCCTAGAACCCCTAAACCCTGAACCTTTAAAGACCCTATATTAAAGCCCGGAATATCGTAAATTCCAAACCCTAAAGCTGGATCTTCGGGCTGCGGCGAGCCTTTGCGCTGGAAGCCCAGCTTTTTCTTCCACGCACCTTTCACTGCCAGCAAATAGCGCTCCAGCAGCCTTCGAGGTGCTGTGCGCCCATCTGTCATTTTGAGGACTTTCATTAGGCGTTTAAGCCCGTCCTCATCAACCCATGTGCTGTACCGTGTTGGATTAGTTCGGCTAGGCCTCGAGGATCTGAACACATGGCATACCAAGTGCAATTTTGGACGCAATCTAAATAGCCACTCGCGCTGTTGCAGGAAGTGCTCTGCAAGCGAAACATAGCTGCGCAAGAACAACTGCCCAAAATAATGTTTGTTTCGCTCCTCGTCGATCGTGAGATACCGACCTGCATTATGCAGCATGCTCATGATATGCGTGGCGCACCAGATAGCCGTGCACATATCTGCAGGCAGCACGGCACTGTGGCGAGAGCACAGGTCTTCAAGCCATTGCAAAACAACGTACGTATCGTAGCCAGAGCTCCTGAGCTCTGGATACGAAGTTTTGGACTTCATGGCGAGCTTATTCTTGGTCAATTTGTGCAACTTCAATGGTAACTTGCGCGATCTGGCGTAGGCTTTCAGTTTGGAAGTGGCGTCTGCCAACCGGTCCGTCATATTCGTGCCAGCCAACACACCAGGACAATCGTTCTTGTGTTTTACGATGTACACGATAATTGAGGCCGCCAAATCTCGGCCTGTGCCAAGGTGCCAGCAATGTAGCAAATCCGGCTGAATAAACTCAAGCTTGAAACCTGACAGTCCAGCGTAAGCGGGCTCGTAGCTCCATGGGCGGCTGTCGAACATCGTCGCCCAGTATGGCGCATCGTCGTTGATATTTGTAAACGCTAGATGACGTTGTGCAGCATCCAGTCCTTTAACAGCTCGGCACATCCAGCATATCTGCAGGGATCACTATATACCTTAACTCAAACAACCTCTGTCCCAAGTAACCTTCTTATTACCTGGACCTCACTTAGCCTATAGTTTGATGGGTTTGTGTTAACCTGAGACTATAAGCCCAAACGATTGCTACGAAGGGTTGAGAATTTAGGGTTTAGGGATATGTATATAGGATGTATAGTGATAGATTTCAGATGTAATTTGACTTCCCTGGACAGTGCCATATCCCCACAACCGATGAATAAACCTATATATGTATTATAATATATATAGATATAGATATAGAGCATGTGCTATATATATATACACACATAAACATCCCTAGCTAGTATATATGCCTTAACCCAGAAAATAGATGAAATTAATGACCCTCCGGCCGCACCTCGTCGCGGTCGGCATATCTGTTGAAACAGAAAGCTTGATACAGCGCCTTCCAGTCTCCACGGAATGCGGTGATGAAAGCACGTAGGCAGAGAACCTGGAATCGAGTTCATATATGCGGCTTTGTAAGGGGTTGTTTGAATGGCTTTCAATATTTGAACGAGAACAAGTTCCTATAGTAATTTGCGACGGGACCTCGGTCTTGCTGGTGGGATCTTTCAAGGGTACCCCAATTTGAGAAAGTTTGTTGAAACTGCAAGTGATAGCTTCACAGGCTGCCTGAATGGTCAGATTAATCCCGCTGCTTGGATGAATAGCGTAGCGTTCTGCTGGAATGATAGCCATAACCATGCGGGATGCAGCAGAATCCGTCAAATATGGTGACAGCTCTGACGTGAACATGAGAAACAGCCAATTCACGTTGATGGCCTTAGCCTCGTCACCTCAACTGTAGTTATAACAAGTATTGGGAATGGGTTCAGATTTAAGTTTCAAGAATACGAAAAGCTTCGGAAAAGAACACGACTTAACGAGAATCCTGCTGTCCTTAAGGCACCGAGTGTCAATATAGTGTACACCCAATTGATGAATTGCGTAAGCTTGCATCGTCAGCTACAGGATGATCTGGATAATCGCTCAGAAACTTGGACCAAAAGAGCGGAAGTTCGCCCAGGTCGCCAACCAAGCTCTGGATGTGTCCATCCGCCACGATGGCTTGCATCTCGGTGGGGGCGGTTGCTATATAATCGGGGGCTTAGTTTACTGGTTTATACAACATTAGCTGCAAAGCTGAACATATTAACATACGATCGAGGCTCCATATCGTACGGCAATATGAAAGGCCAGTCTTCCCAGACCACATTGCTATCATCAGCCGAAACCCTCATAGGTAATTTGACGTGGGAGATTTTGGCGGATAGGGAAATGTCCAGAGCTTGGGCACGGCTGTGCACACCAGTCTCCTTGAGGTTCCTCGGTATTTCACTATAATTCACGGGTAAATATAGACTAGGCATAGTTACGAATATAGGCTACACTAAATAAGGCCCCAAGCCTAAGTATAGCCCGGAGAAAAGGATTCAGAGGCAAGCATCCGTAGCAGCTCAGAATCATAAAGCTCGCCAATATTCCCCGCATGCCGGATGGAGGTGTACCCACGACCGATATTCTCGGCGACCCTTAGAGGATCGATGCAAATACATATCGGGGGGGGCGACTGATAGAAGGCAATGCTGCCGCATATAGACGAGAGACACACCATCAAGATCTCTTCGGACACGGCGAAGTTCAGCTTCGTCACCACCTGCGTAGGACCGTTTCATCCGTTTGAGTACATAGGGTAGATGACGATCGTGTCGTGTAATGTGTAATCGCGTGAAACTCTTTCTGCGCACGAGGGTAGCACATGCAGACCTATCCTCACCTCTAGAGCACAGCATGTCCTGCCGGCACAGTGGGGCTGTCTGCACACATATCCCAGTGATCGGATGCATTGCTGAACAGTGCAATCTCATCCAGAAGTATCTTCCCCGTCAAAAAGCATCCAGGTCGATGGTGCATTGTACAAAGTATAAGATCGCTCGTATGAACTTTGGTAGCTAGGGTGCTCTAAGACTCGAGGCTTTGTGTAATGATGGCATGAGGCTAGCTACATAGGTTCGATGTCAGAACGATTAGGGTACTGAGAGTTATCCTTTATATATATATATATACAGATACAGATCGATTAGTTAGCCAAACATATATGCAGATATGGATAGTCTTTGTATACTGGGTTGTTTGTTTAGGTATGGGTCTTCATCTTTCTGTTTTGGCTTTCAATCCGGTCGTTCGGTTTGGAGTATAGGAGCCTAGATTAAAACCTAATTACAGGTCTCCGTCATAGGCCTCGGAATTTGGCGACATCATACTTATATTTAAGGCTAGAAATTCTTAACAACCCTCGGATATATATATATATATATACACACATATTATATATATATATGTATATATATATATATATATATTATACATGTGAAGATATATTAATGAGTATGTGCAGAGCACATATTCAGTATAAGCCTACACTTCTACGGCCCCTGGAATTCTATTCTTAAGTCTCTCTACAGAACTTATTATGTGTTTATATACCAGATATATTGTTTATATACTATATAGCTAGCTTGCGACGTTCCTCGGAACTCAAAGGTAAGCTTCATTAGTTCCATTTAACTACATTATAGTCTAAACGAATACTGAAATGATCAATCAAGCTATATATTGAATGTGATCTCATTATAGCACTACAGAAAATTCTTGACCGTTCGATCCTGGACGGGAACCTAGTATCGGCTCCTCAGGCCCGGTCGATCAGCCCTTCTTGATCTCGGCGGCCACGGCTCGTGCTTGTACACGGGTGAGCTTGGCATTCTCGACCTT